TTGAGAAAGACACAAATCCTTAGCCCCACAGTGGCCTGCATAAATACCATTGACCAAGTCTGCTGTACTTGCTTTTGATTCCAGGTGCATGGAGCAGTCTTCTGATTACTATTTTGGCCTCTTAACTACTTGGACACTAGGAATAATTAGCAGGGGTGGCTCCCAATCCTGTCACTAGTGTTCTGGTCCCTGAAAAGGAGCATTCTCAGTGACGAACAGATACGCTGGCATTCTGATTAGTGTTTCATTTCCTGTGAATTTGGTTAAGTCAATCCAGAGTCTCCAAACTGACCTATTCTGGCTGTCCTGCAAGGTGGAGTTCTGGGACTTGCAAAGTGTGGGAGGTGAGTGGGGGAAGAACCACCACCAGGTGCTGCCACTTTGGCCTCTTCTGTGTAACCAGTGTCTTCCCCGGATGCCAGGGCTTCCAAACTTTTCCTGGCTGGCTGTGCAGCCTCTGAGCTAATGAAATACACACAGATGCCCCATATGCAGAGCCGATTAAAGGGGTGCTATTCTACTTGGGGGATGGGAGGCCTGGAGACAGCCACCGTGCGGTCCCAGGAGTCTCTCCCTGTGTGGGGGCTCCTTGGACGTCTCCGGGCTCTGACAGCGTTGTCCTCTCTCTGACTCACAGGATGCAGTCTCGGCCTCAGCCACCCCCCAGTCCCTCTCTGGGGGTAGGAGAGAGAGACAACCCCACAGAGGCTCCTACTCTGGGATTCCGTCCCCTCAGCCCCACTACTGAGTGCATGCAGCGGGATTTCTGGTTAGGCTCTTTCCTAATCATTTTTCTTTTGCATCTTAAAGGTGGAGAGGAACAAACTCCTCAGACTAAGCTACAGTTAAATAGTCGGTGGGGGAGCAGGCTCTATAGGCCTCTCTTGCTGCAGTTAAAACAACAAGCACCAAAATATTAAAGACATAAAAAGCTTTCAGTAAAACCAAGTCATGGGCAGGTCAGGCCACCAGCTTTTCACTCTTCATGACAAAAGGGAGGGTCAGTTTCCTCTCCAGCCCAGAAGGGTGCATAGTGCAGCATTGCTGCATGGAGAATTCCAGAAAAGCAGGCTTCTTAAGCTCAGAGACAGTCTGTGGCCCCCACAGCCTGGAACCCCAAATGCAGCCTGGAACAGCCTGGAACCCCAAATGCAGAAGAAATGTCTGGTAGGAATTTTCTCCAGTAGCCGAGTGAGGGGTGGACTGAGATGGGAAGAGGGGACAGGAAAGCCTGTCAGGGAGGTTCTCCTGGATCCCAGTGCAGATGCACTGAGAACTCCAATAAGAGTAAGAATGGTGGAAACGGAGCAAGATGTGTTAAAGATCTGGCCATCAACTGCGTGTTAGTGACAAGGAGCTGAAACATTGGGGATGACACCAAGGTTCTAGGTGTCTGGAGATGGTGATGCCACGCACCCAGGTGGCAGAAGAGATGGTGATGGTGGCTTTGGGCATGCTGAGAGGACAATACCCACCTATCTGTACTTTCCTTCACTTATTTTTATTTTGACTGAGTATATTAACTCCAATCTTAGGTTCTAATACATGGGGTGTTGAAAGATTCCACAAAGAAAGGTCCAAATAAGGCCGGGCGTGGTGGCACATGCCTGTAATCCTAGCTCTCTGGGAGGCCGAGGTGGGCGGATTGCTCGAGGTCAGGAGTTCGAAACCAACCTGAGCAAGAATGAGACCCTGTCTCTACTATAAATAGAAAGAAATCAATTGGCCAACTAATATATATATACGAAAAAAAAAAAAATTAGCCGGGCACAGTGGCGCATGCCTGTAGTCCCAGCTACTTGGGAGGCTGAGGCAGGAGGATCGCTTGAGCCCAGGAGTTTGAGGTTGCTGTGAGCTAGGCTGACGCCATGGCACTCACTCTAGCCTGGGCAACAAAGTGAGACTCTGTCTCAAAAAAAAAAAAAAAAAGAAAGGTCCAAATAAAACCCCTTGAAGAAAATATCAAGGCTGAATGGACAATAATTACGCCAGCCCATCACCTGATTCCATATGCTTTGGATCACAGTGTCTAGCTGGTGCTTCCCATCCAAATGCTCTCAATTAACTTTCTTTGCGCTCGCCAAGGGTAGGCATTGGTTGATTTTCCACATGGAGCCAGTGGAGCAGAGAGCCTTTGCCCAAACCACAAAAAGTGTCAACTGTCAGGACAGAAACAGTGTTCCAGACATCTGATCATTCAGTCTGCAATATTCAGAAACTGTCACTAATGTGAGGGAAAGGGTAAGAGTAAACTCGGCTCCCCTTCACATGCATCAAGATCTGGTCCTATTCTTCAATATGCAGATTCCCAGTAAAATTCCATTCTGATCCGCCAACCCCTTAGCTCTGCTGTGGGTAAAGTAAGAGAGGAGGAACAGATTAGTTCTGATTAATTTCCATCATGAGAGTCGACGCGTGCTTTTCGGGGAGAGATTAGGGAAGGGAAGACATGGGTAATTAAAATCCACAGATAGCACAAACACCCAATGTAACCAGCAATTTCAAATCCTCCTCCACTAGTTTTTTTTTTTTTTTTTTTTATTAGAGGTGACAAGTAGCAAGGCTCAGCCCACCTTTGGAGGCATGCGGAGGCATCAGAAGGCAGGCAGGTGGGAGCGTGGCAAAGAACAATGAGAAGCTGGGGGCTGCTGGCCTTTCTGAGATTGAAAGGCGGCTACTCTTGCCCACTCTCTGGTGGTTTCATTTAGAATCACAACATCAGCACTGTTCGTTTACATTGTGGGTGGCCAGGCGAAATTTTCAGAAAGGCCAGCTTACGCTTTGTTCACCGCCAAAGAGTTTCTCACGGATGGAGAAACCGGTCGAATTGGTCTGCAGGGACTGCGGGCGTCAGGAGGTGCAGGGCAGAAGCCGATCTCCAAGAGCACAGGCCCTTCTCGTTTGCCTCTGCCAGTTTCGTCTACTGATAGGACACAGGCCCAGCCCCGCTTGCAGCTGCTGCCGTCCCAGGCTTTGTTATTCCCAGCCCTTCCCGAGGAGGACCTTCGTGCGGCCTCCGATCTGCCTGCCATTCAAGGCTGCAGTTACGCATCCCAGACCACACCTTACTTCTCACTACCCTCCAAACCACACCCAACCCCTGGCCAGGCTCTCCCACTGGCGCTGGGACATGCCTGCGTCTCCACCACCTTGTCTTTGCCCCTGTCATTCCCTGACCTCTCCCCATTCCCCACCCACTTCTCGTGTTGGAAATGTGGTTCCTTTTCAGGGGCCAGCCCTCTCCTTACCGCCTCCCCGTTTCCCGCAACTCAAAGTGGTCATTCCTTCCTATGACGGCACTTTATCAGCGTGTCTTCCTGGCGCACGTTATGCTTTCTATTCTATCACAGTCCCTTGTATCCCCTACGACTTTAATGTTCTCCAAAATGTGGGTCAGGACCCATTAGTGAGCTTTGAAATCACTTTAGTGGGTCATGACCTGAATTTTTAAAAATGAAACAGAATAGAATAGAACATTTTAGAGCTCATTACACATAAACATATTTCTCACTTTGGTTTATGATCAAAAACCTTGAAAGTCACTGCCTCATGTAGTAGTGATGTTTTCAGCTTTTATGTAACAGAAAGCCTTGATCCAACCAGCTTAAATAACAAAAATTTATTATCTTATATGAGAAGTCTGGAGATAGGGCAGTTCTAGGTTTGGTCTGTCAACAACTTAGCAACAACATCAAGGACCCAGATTTTTCTCATCACTGTCATCTTTCTAGCTACCTCCCCTCATGTTTACAAAATGGCTGCAGGAGTTCCTCGCATCATAACAACATCCTTAGGCAGAAAAAAGGGAGTTATTTATTCTTTAGGTCTCTATTTATCAGCAAAGAAACCTTTCTTAGAATTCTCCCTGCCTCTGATCTCCTTCCATTGCTCTTTGAAATAAAGTGAAATAAAATGAATTATGTGCCTTATCAGGAGTGGCAAAGAAAACCAAAATCAGTTTAGATGAAGATAAGACCAAAGTGCATGAGCACTTGTCCGGTTCTGCTGGTGAGGACTGAACTCTGATCTTTTCTTTTGCTCAAAATTCCTTCCTAAGGAGGCCAGATGAGTCACCCTCACAAATGGTAAATTGCCACTAAGCAGGTTTTGTTAACCAAATAAAGTGTGGTTTACTTCCCAACCTAATTTTGGTATAGCATTAGCATCACCTAAAAGATAGAAAGCCCCCATCTTAACTCAAGCATCCTAGTAGATGTCTATCTTAACTTGAAACATTTTCCTGTCTGGACCTCCCAGAGTGCTCACACCTTTATCTTAAATTAAGCATTTCCTTTCTGGTCTTTTAGATAAAGCCTAACTGTCTCAGCCAATTATCAGCCAAAGAATCTTTAAACCCACCTATAACCTGTAAGTCCCCAACCCCTTCGAGATGTCTCACCTTTTGGGGCCAAACCAATGTATGCCTCTCATGTGTTAATTTATGACTTTACCTGTAACCCCTGTCTCTCTGAAATGTATAAAACCAAACGGTAACCCAGCCATAGTCCACTTGCTCAAGGCTTCTTGGGAGTGGCTCCTGGCCATGGTCCTCAAATTTGGCTCAAAACAAACTTCTTTCAAATATTTCACAGTCTGGATTTTTTCATCCACATTGGTCAGAAAGAAGGAGAGATTGATGGATTTGGGGTAGGCACCAGCCACACGCAAGGTGCATCACTGGAGGGTCAGAGTCGTTTTCTGTTTATGTTCTCTGCAACACTTGTCACGTAGCAAAGTCTAGACAGTCACCTTAATTGCCAGTGATAAATTAAATCAATCACTTTGCCTCACAGTATAAATATTCATGGGATGCAGAGACCAATAACCAATTCGAGATACTGGTGGCATGCTGCACACACAGCTCACGATTTGCTGCTGTACAACTCACCAGAGGCCAGGATTTTTTCCAAGTCTTAATTTTTCTATTGAATTATTAAATGTGAAGTGCTAGATTAGCAACATTGCACACTGTAATACCACTTAAGTAACAAAACACATACTTGTCTCAGTGCAGATGGCAACCGGAGGTCCACAGATGGAATTGCGGCTCTCGAGAGGAGATGGTGACGGGGCAGTGGGCGTGGAGGGAGGCAGCAGCAGAGGTGGGGAGACATCACGTCATCCAGATAGGGGTTTCTCTGGGAACCCTGGCAGGATTGCTGCTGAATCATCCTGCGAGGCAAAGTATTGGCATGTTAGCTGGACAGAGGTCACTGTAATTAAGCTCTGTGTGTTGGCATCTCTCTGCTGATGTTGCCACTTAAGGCCAGACTAGAAAACACAAACACATAAAATGTCATATCTGTAAGAGAAGCAGAGAGGAAGAAGCCACTGCTGTTTCTCCTCTCTCGAGTGCACGTACGTGGGTGTGTGTGTGTGTGTGTGTGTGCCAACACACACACATTATATGTGCCCCTTATCAGAGAAACTACAGGTTCAGAGGACTCTGAATTGAAGAAAAGCTTTAGTCTCTGAGATAGAATCTTTCTGTTTGCTCCTGTTACAAATGCAAGATCCTCCCATTTGACCAGTAGGTAAAACTCAACCGTTAGTGCCTTGCAATTCCTTGAAAGGCAGCCTCGTGCTCCAGAGTCGTAGGGTAGAACTTTCTCACCCGCCAGCCCACTGCATCCCCTGGTTGGCCTGCAGGGCCTGGGGCTGGATGTCCGTAGACTTGGAGTCCACTCTCGCTGAGGCTGCTGACTTAGGACCTAGCTGAGTCAGTGGCCTCAGGCACGGTCCCTGCTCTGCTAAAGCCTGCTTAAAGTTCCACTTTCAGTTTCAGGGGCCTCATTTTAAGAAGGTCCTTGGCATAGCCAGGCATGGAGGCACATGCCTGTAGTCCCAGCTACTCAGGAGGCTGAGGCGGGAGGATTGCTTGAGCCCAGGAGTTTGAGGTTGCTGCGAGCTAGGCTGATACCACGGCACTGTAGCCCGGGCAACAGAGCAAGACTCTGTCTCAAAAAAAAAAAAAAAAAAGAAAGAAAGAAAGAAGGTCCTTGGCAAACCAGGCAGTGTGCTTGCTAGGACAGCCAGCATACGCGGGATCAACTACGAAGAAACAACAGGAATAGCTCCCATTGTATAAGGTTTGCCATTGCATTATCCCATTGGATTTGCTCCCCAGTCCATCTTATAAGGTATTTACGTTCATTTTAAGGAGAATCTAGAGACCTTAGACCAGAGAAACTGAGGCTGGTGCCCAGGAAGGTTCTTGAATGGATTATCTAACAGATGGCTTGGGAGAACTTGGGGGAGGAAGTGGGAATTGCAGCGGGCAGCAATGGCGTCACCCTCATTCCCTTTCTACAGCACGACCCGGTCATTGATGATAAGAGCTAATATATGTCAAGTGCCCGGCACTGTGCTAAGTGTGTCAGTGCACTTGGGCTTCACGACAAACTGTGCAGTTGGTGCTGTTATTTCTATTCATAGATGAGGAAACTAAGGAAAGAGAAGCACTTGCTTTTCTGTTTGTGCCTATTGCCTATTTTTCCTCCTGTTCCTCAAAAGCCTGGCTCACTTTGCTCTTCAGGACTCAGCTCAAATGTCCCCGGTAAGGTTTTCCCTGTCCACCCACCTAAAGTAGCCCACCACTGACCCCAGGTCCTCTGCCACGCTCCCCTTTGTTCCTTCCCTGCATGGGACATGTTAGAGTCTGCAGATACGGTATTCACTTGCTCATTCACCTGTTTATTTTCAGTCTCTACCATTCAGATATAAGCTCAGCAAGGGCAGGGACCTTGTCCCTTCTGTTTGCCAGATGCTGGTGCCTAGCAGGGTGCCTGGAATATAACAGAGACTCAATAAAGTGTTTGAATGAATGAATGAGAGCATGCATGCATGAATATAGCTGATTAATGGGATTTGCAGCTGGGTTTGTCTCACGCCAGAGTCCAAGTTTTGAGCCCCCCTGTCCTGCTCATGCTCATCTATTCAACAAGCTTCATTCACTTATCAACAATTGCCAGGCACTGAGGTAGGTGCTGCAGAATTGAATGAATAAGACACAGTCTCTGCCCTTGAGAAATCTCACCTTGGAGGGATGGAGGTGGTAGTTGGTAGGGGAAATGAAATGGGGCTTATACGAAAGCACAAATAAAAGTATAACGTTGACATGAGAGGTGAGTACAAGTAGCATAGCAACAAGAAGAGACGACCTGCCCTGCCAGACTGGGAAGCCTTCTGCATAGCAGATGACCTTGAACCTGACCTTGAAAGAGGATGCTGGGCTGTGGGGGAGAGAAGCCTGTACATAGAGCCAGGGAGGGGAGGACACGCGGGTATCTAGTGACAGGCATGGGACTCCTCCCCATCCTGCACTGTTGAGTCACATTTTGGTCCCAGTGCCCAGTTGTTAGGAGGGCCACTACCCAACTGACCACTTAGTGGGACCATCATGATGGGGAATCCTGCCTGGGTTGGGGTAGGAACACCAGGAAGGGTATCTGAGTGGCCCCTAAGTGTCCTCCAGCTCTCAGAGCAGTATGACTGTCTCATGGAGGAAGGCACTAAAAGACAGAACTAGAGTACAGGGGCGTATTCTTGAGGACAGAATTCAGATACGTGTATTCGGAGTATAGCCATATTCTTGCCCTAAATATAGAGAATTTCCTAACGAGAAGAGTAAATATAACTGAAGTATATATATTGGCTTGTAGCTTGCAAAACATCTTCTCAAACAAAATCTCATTTGATTCTCCACTAGCCTGCTAGATATTCTGCAGCTCAGAAAGGTCATTTATTATTCATTCATCTGGTCAACATTCATCACGTGCAAACCCTGGGCCAGACCTGGGCAGTGTAAAGCGGAACAGCAGAACCTCAGGGCCCCAAAGCACTTAGGTGCAAAGAGGAGAGGACAGCAGGAGCACGAGCAGAAAGCTGCAAGCCGTGGCTAGCGCATGGGGCCCGAGTCAGTCTTGCTCTGCACTCACGCTGGGTAACTAAATGAGATCATTAATACATGTGTACTAGTTAGGTTATAGGCTGGCTGTTAAACAAAGGCCCTTAAATAGCTAGGACTTAAACAAGGTGGAAATTGCTTTCTCTTTCAGGCAGCCACCCAGCCAGGTATTGTGGCTGTGCTCCAGGAAGTCACGCAGCCCCGGGCTCTGTCCCCCTCATTGCTCTGCCAGTTCTAGGGCTCGACCTCATCTGCACGGCCCACGATGGCTCCTCACCACAACTCAGGCTCTGTTCGGACGCAGTGTGATACGGGAGCTTAAATGATACCGCGGGACCTGGGCCTCTCTCGGTGCGGTTCCCTCGTCCTCTGGATGAGAATCTCCTTTGCATCCTCAGACACGCTGTCCCATCATGGTCACAAGAGGCTTTGGGCATCCCCACCCTTCATGTGCTCTCAGCCTTATGTCCGGCATCTCCCCTCCAAGAGTCTAATGAAAGCCCCAGGCCTGACTCTCAGTAACCTGTGCCAATCCTAGTGGCCAGGGACAGGAGAAGTTGTCTAGGACTAATGAGGAGCTCGCCCCACCCCAATCCCGCCCCAGCAGCTGCATAGCTGGGAGTGGCGAGGAGGCCCCACACAAAATTCCCCATATTGTCTTACCAGGAGAAGGATGAATGAATGTAGGGTGGTTAAAAAAAAAAAAAACAACTCCTATTCCTTCCTTCCTTCAATTATATGCACTTCTAGAGTCTATGATCCATAGCAATGGTCTTCAAACTCCACCCACAAAATCCCAGTTTTGACTATGTCACCAACAAGCACATTTATTTCTTTGTGTGTATAGACAGGTGCTAGTCCACTACTGCATTACCACGGCACAGACTGCTAGTGGCACCCGCCATCCACCCTTTCCTGCTTCCGTGGTATGGCAGTACCTGATGGCACATGGCATCCCAGAATGGACTACATTTCCCAGGACCTATTGCAGCTAGGTGTGGGCACATGACTAAATTCTAGCCAATGAAATGTCAGGAGCATGGGGTTGCCATTTCCAGGAAATGTCCTTAGTAGGGACACGCAGTTCTTCTCTTCTTCCTTCCTGCTGCCTAGATTGTGGTGGTGATGACTAGGCCTCGAACGACAGTCTTGGATAACGAAGTAGACGCCACACAGTGAAGATGTTGGAGCAACCAGAGGAGACACCTGACCGGCTCTGGGCAGCTTCCCACCAGACTCCACATACACAAGAGAGAAATAAACTTCTCTCTTGTTTAAGACACTTGTTTTGGATATTCTCTTCTCTTTTTTTTTTGAGACAGAGTCTCACTCTGTTGCCTGAAATAGAGTGCCGTGGCGTTAGCCTAGCTCACAGCAACCTCAAATTCCTGCTCAAGTTATCCTCCTGCCTCAGCCTCCCGAGTAGCTAGGACTACAAGCATGTGCCACCATGCCCAGCTAATTTTTTTTCTATCTATTTTTAGTTGGTCAATTAATTTCTTTCTATTTATAGTAGAGACGGGGTCTCGCTCTTGGTCAGGCTGGTTTCGAACTCCTGACCTTGAGCGATCCACCCACCTCGGCCTCCCAGGATTATAGGCATGAGCCACCTTGCCCAGCGGGATATTCTCTTCTCTTAATCTCAGCCAAATCTAATCCTACCTGATACAATTATATACATTGTAATACATGTACCAAAATATAAAAAAGAAGAAATAAAATATCTATAAAGTTATAATAGATAACTTTGGAAGTTTTAATATTTTGGTACCCCACTGGATAGAGTCTCACATACCTCTGGTGTCTGGGGTGCATCCCTGTCCCCTTTGGCCCCCCATTTTAGAGACCTCTGGTCTCCCCGGCCCTGCGTACCCAATAGGGTTAGTTACATTGGCGTGGCCGTCACCTCCTCTGCCCCAAATACACTTTGTTCTTTGAAGCACGGGCCCCGAAGGAAGTTGTCTGAACCACCCAGGAGAGTCCCTCCCAGTCCTTCCCTTTTGCTGACTCTTCTGGGTCTTTTTTTGTCATCCAGACTTTGCTGTTGCCGTGGAGAAAGAAGACGAGAACATCTGAAGGAATTGAAAAGTTGAAATAAGATCTGAAGCTCAAGTGGGCAATCTGTAATTGTCAGAACAGTAGACGTGCACTTGGAGCTGTGCTGTTGGCGCTAAGGTGCCCCAGTCACAAGCCACCTTCCCCAGGGTGCCACGGTGTGACTATGCCCACGCAGCCTGGTGTGCAGGGGAGGAGGCAGGGCAGGGGA